GGGGGGATGAACCAACCAAGACAATGAAGAGAAGGGGGAAGGGCGACCACAGCAGTTCCTGCAGCCTGGGGGAAAGGGGAAAGTACTTCACTTCCTTGAATGCCTGTACCTGCTCTGCTCAGATCCCATTTCAATCCAAAAGGTGTGCAAGCTCTGAGGTCAATCTGACTCATACTTTAAATTGAGGGTCAAAAATCCTCTGTCCTCGGGCATGAGAGGAGCCAAATTCCACACCTACAGTTACAAAGGAGAGTTTCCCAATGCCTTTGTAGAATGCTATGGCCAGGCCAGGACTCAGGCCTTCCAGAGACCCCAGTAGACAGCAGGCCAGCCACCTTCCCTTGTTTTGCTTTGAAACCCTTTTCCACTTCTGCATTCTGTCAACATTGGTAAGCCACGTATAAATGGCGCGGCAGGTCCTAAGAGACCGTTATAGCATAGCCAACACCTCAGAGCACCTTCCCTGGGCCTCTTCAGGAAAGAAGTCTGCAATATTTACATTAAGACTGTGCTGGGCCAGCCTCTGCCTCATTGTTCTCGTCTGTGGACAAGAAGAATGTAATTTATTACTTCCCAAACTTTCACCTTAAGGACATTGAATAAAGGATGTCTTTTTAGGAGCTAGAGATGGAACCCAAAACCTCAAACATGCTAGACAAGCGCTCTACCACTAAGTTGACATTCACCCCTGCCTGATACAGGGCTTTAGGATCAATCAAAAGTAGTTGTTTCAGCCAAACACTGGGCTGCCCTGATGCTTGCAGCAATAAAACTGTAAAATATAATTAAGCATTCAGTTCTATAGAGCGGGTGTCAATGTTTCAGGTATGAGGGGAAAAGAGGGCTAAGTTAGCCCAGAGAGGGGTGTGAGCAAGATCTGGGTGTGTAAGTGGGGCTGGGGTGAATGATAACAAAAAAGGAAGCCTCCAGGCAGGCACCTAGACATGAGCAAACACCAGCCCCAGGTGTGTGTCAGATATGAGCCAGGTGCATTTGCAGAGCAGCTGGGGGCGGGGGTGGGGGGTGGGAACCAGTTGCTGTCCCTAGAGTGGAATGTGGACAGAAGAGAGAGGCAAGGCTCATGGGGTCCTGCAAACTGTCATTGACAGGGAAGAGGCAGGAATGTGAAGCAGGAAATGTTGAGGTTCTCTAGGCCGGAGGGCGCACTTCCCACTTGATGGTTTGCATGAGGAAGTGTGGTCTGGTCATCGAGGAGGGAGAGACTGAGGTCACAAATCCAGAGAACGCAAGTGCCAAGGAAGGCTGAAGCCCAGTGAAAAGCAAACAAGGACCAGTCAAAAAGCATCCGTGGAGAGCTAAGAGGATTGCTGACCATCTAAACGACACCACTGTGCATCACCTTCTGCCACACCATGACACCAAAAAACGTAGGCCAAAAGTCAGCTCCTCTCTGAGTGAGTCAGGGCTTATGGGATTTGGGTCAGCTGACCTTGGCAAGCAAAGTAGGCCAATGAAATATAATGTGCTTAAATATAATTAGTAATAGCAGTCACAATTTGTCCAATGTGAACCAGATGTTAGCATCTTCTCTTCAATCCTCTCAGAAGCCTTTCCGGATAGATAGCAGCCCACACGATGAGGGGTAATGTCATTGTTCCCCAGATCCAGAGCAACAAAGTGGGGACTTAAAATGTGTAGAGGTTAGGGATATAGCTTAATTAGTAGAGTGCTTGCCTAGCGCGTTCCAAGTTCTGGTATCTCCTAGACTAGGCCTGGCAGCACATACCTGTAAGGCCTGTACAGAAGACATAGAGGCAGGAGCATTAGGAGTTCAAGGTCATCCTCAGCTACACCTGAGTCCAGCTTAGGATGAGATCCTCTTTCTAAAATCAAAAACTGGGCAGAGTGACCACCGAGTAAGAAGAAACCAAGGCCCAGAGGTGTCTTGTCTTGCTCCTAAGTTCTAGAGTCAAGACGCAGATCCAAGACTGTCTGTCTATTGTGTAACGCGAATCACTCGCTTTGCTTTCGTCCAGGCCGTCTGCAGTTTCCTTTATAGAAACAGGACCGTGCTGTCCACACTGTGTGACCCCCCCCCCCCCAGCTCACACTTCACTCCGGTTCTTAGGTCACCCTTCACTAACTGCTTCCTGGTCCTCTCCTCCTAGTGCTGGTTCCTGTGAACAACTCCATCAGCGCGGTGATACTGAAAGCAGTGAACCAGAGCAGCCCCTCCGCGGGTGTCTGGGTTGGAGCAGACCAGGAGTGCAATGACACCAGCGTCCTGTATCGAGTGACACCGCTCAACAGTTCCCTCGTCACGGCAAAGTGGCTCGTTCCCAATTCTGAGGACGTGACTGAAGTCAGCCTGCAGTAAGGATTGGCCGTGTTTTGCTTTCTTGAGCTTTTATAACAGGTTTATATAGTTTCATACTAGCCTAGGACTGGGGGTGTGAGCAGGGAACCCAGCAGCAGCGCTTCTTGTCTGCCTCGCCTTCCTTTGCTGTGCCTTTCATGCACACACACACGCCCATCCACAGTACTCAACATAATCAGGAAGACTGGAATACTCTTTCAAGTTCTCCATATTCAAACTGGTGAATCCTTATTAAAAAAAAAAACAGCTTTTGTTGGCCTACAAAATAATAGATTTCATTATGATATTTTCACCATGTATGTCATTGTACTTTGCTCCTAATCACCCCCATTAGTTTCTCTTGTTCACCCTCTCCTTCAGTTACCTTCCCTCCTGCAAACAGTCCCTTTCTACGTATACACACACACACGTGTTGTGTGTCTCTGTGTGTGTGTGAATCTAGTAGCGAATCATGTAGGGAAAGTGTGACAATGAATAATGACAGTAGTTTCCTTCTGCCATAAAAAATGGATGCCCCGAGGTTCTAAGAAGAGACCACCTGGAAGCTGGCATTGTCCCTCCACAACCAATGCCTCTCACTCTGAGGGCCTGATATTACATTGACTTTAGAAACCAAGGGCTGTGAAGAACTTAATGCACCTGAAAGGGCAACCCTGGCATGCTGGGTCCACTGTCAGCAATGTTGCCTCTGCGGAAGCTGGGATGCTGTCAAGCCGTTCTTCCCTCGCTTGCCACACTCTGGACCTAGCCAGGCTTCATTGGCTCTAGAGGAGGAACTATTATGCCCATAGAGTGATAAATGGATGCCAAATCCAAAGGGCGCTACTACTACCAATTCTATCCTGGCAACGGTTGCTAAGAAGCCAGCTAGTTGTACTTAAAGAAAGGATGCTGGCCACACTGAATGCACCAGCAGGTACAGTCTGCAGGAGAAACAGCACGGTCCTACCGACAAAGCAGTCTCTGTCCTCACCTGCACACGTACTACCATACGCTAGTCTCTCTGCTTGTTCATAATGTGCACACTCATGGCCTTGATCAGCAAGACTGGCTCAAGGAGAGGGGGCACAAAGAACCCCACCATGGAGGGCACTATGCTGAGTAGGCTACAAAAGGGATGGTCCAAGGTCTTGGCCTGTGGGATTTACAGTGAGCCTGGGAAACAGGACCCACATACATGGAAGTACTGAAGTGAATCGCTTCCTCTGCTTTCCCTGAACACGGAGATTCAGAAAGAGCTCTGTTGCACACTCTCCAGCCTTCCTCTACTGCATCACATACATCACAGCCGCAACTGACTCCTTAGATGGTTTTCTGGGTAGTCATTGATCTGTCTCTGAAGACACTGTAAGTGCCATGAGCATCAGAGCCATGACTGTTGGGTGCACTGCTGTCTGCTCAAACCAAGCACAGTGACCGGCATACAGATGGTGTCCCTTCATGAGTGACTTGCTGGCTGTCTAGACAAGGGGCTAATGCTGCAATGGACCCACTGAGTTAATAACAACAGAATGCATTCTGAGGATCATTTAATGAACATTTAAGTACCTACAGTGTGTCGGCGTTATTCTCAACAGAGCCTGCCCTCTAGTGGGTAGAGAAGCTCATAGCAACTCAATGTAAAGAAAAGGTGGGAGATCTGTCAGGGTTAACCATAGGGAGATTGGACTTGAAAGATGTCATTGAGTTTCTGAACAGATAGACCGGGAGCGTATTACAAACAAAGAGGCTCTCTTGAACAAGGGATAAAGATGTGTATCAGCCCGTGGGGAGTTCCTAATGAAGAAACTGGTGGGGGTAGAAGACAGGAGAGCTAAGACCCTGGAGGAGTTCAGTCAAATCCATACGAACTAGGTCAATATTCAATGATTAGCTTATTGAGAGATATAAAAAGTCAGTTCAGAAGAGACTAACAGGATGGGGTGGTCCAGACAGGCTAAGATGGAGCTCATGAGTTCCACAGACAAGGTCCTCACCATCTCCTCCTGATTTGCCCTCCAGGGTCTCCCTTGCTTCCGTCAACCACACAACTATCATGTCAACTGTGAGACTGGAATGGTCAGGTGAGTTCTGTCCAAACTCTTTGTATATTTGCCAGCAAACTCAGGCAGTCTGGAAAATTGTTTTACCCAGATACCAGCTGAATTTCGCACTGAACAAGAACCTAATGTGAGTTTTTTCCCAACCTTCTGTTGTACGCTATGTGGAAAATGAAAGCCCGCTCCAAGATTTGTACAACTTTTCAGAAATCCCCACAGTCACCTGTGGCTCCAACTCCCTGCTTCAATGGGGGGACAGTTCCTGTCCAATACTGGAAGCATCAGTTTAAAAAAGCAACTCATTTTCCACCCAGAACCTGAAACCCCACTCACACAAGGCTTTCACAGGGTGAACTTTAACCAACCAGTATTTAAGGGAATTATGCAGGGTAGGGGACGAAGGGCACTAGCTATACAGAAAGAACTGGTGTCACAGAAATGTCAATAATGTCACATACTTGTTAGCTTGCTTTTTGTTTTTGTTTTTATTTTTTTTCTCTTGCAAGAGATAGATTAACCCTTGTACCTTGACACAAACTAAGAAAGTACATGATCTCTAACCTGCATCTTCCTATTCCATGTTTGAGTGTATGTGTGTGTGTATGTGTGTGCCCGCGTGCACTTGCATTCACAAGCATGCATGCATGTTCGTGTCTATAAATGTATTCATACATGTGGAGGTCGGTGGTCAGCCTCACCGTGTTTTAGAGACAGGGTCTCTCGCTGCCCTGGGACTCACAAAGCAGGATGGTTGGCCATTGATTCCAGGGATCTGCCTTCTTGGCCTCACTGGTGCTGTGATCACAAACGTGTGCCACCACCTCTGGAATTTTCACAAGGATTTGGGGAGGTCAAACTCAGGACCTCTCAACTGAGCGAAAGAACTTCGTTGACTAAGCCCTCTCATAAGTTCCTAACAGCCTCAGCTGCTCTCGACACCACCAGGGATTGCCACCATCTTTCCACAGGGCGCAGACCCCAGGCTCACACTTGCCCAGGCTCCTCATCCTTCCTCTCTTCCCCTTTCTCTTATTTCCCCCGTAAGAAACCAAAGCATTCAAAACTGAGCTCCACAAAGGATAGTCAACTTATCTAAGGACACAGAGAACATCCAGAGCAGAGCAAGGACTCCAAGTCCACTTCTTACACATTTTTCTAGTTTTCTTAGACTTACATTAAAACTTAGAATTACTGGGGGCTGGAGAGATGGCTCGGAGGTTAAGAGCACTGACTGTTCTTCCAGAGGTTCTGAGTTCAATTCCCAGCAACCACATGATGGCTCACAATCATCTGTAGTAAAATCTGGTGCCCTCTTCTGGCCTGCAGGGACACATGCAAGTATAATGCTGTATACATAATTAATAAATAAATCTTTAAAAAAAGCTTAAAGTTACTTATAGCACTTGCATTACTTAGACTACATTAAAACTAAAGCAATTACTTTAATGCAGTTTTAAATGTAGGATTCAGCTAAGAGTATGTATGAAGCCTTGGATTCAAATCTCCAGCATGGGGTACAGGGAAGAGAGCGAGTATGTGTGCAGGTGTGCACACACAGGGAGGACAAAGGAGGATATCCTCTGCCTTCCTCTATGGCTGTCTTTCTTATGACTCAAGATAGGGACTCTCACTGACTCTATTGCTTCCCGTTTTCAGTTATGCTGTTGGCCAACTCAGAAAGTACCCTTTTACCGAGTGCTGGGTTTATAGGTCCCACTACCAGCTAAGGGTGAGACACCCTTGAAATGTCTGAGCTCGAAGCTCCAGGTTTTCTGGCATCTCCCAAGTCCCTAGGAGTGCAGGCTTGATTTTCTTTGCTCCTCTAAAAGATAATCATTGAGATCCAGCATTTGGTCAGAACCTACAAAAGAAAATGTCCTAGGGCTTGCCAGCCTAAGAAACAAAGTCAAGGATTTAGACAGGGTATCTATCCCTCTGCCCCTGTCTAGATAGTGTATCCCCTACTAACCTTAAGGCAGAGACCACTGTTCTTGGTTCTACATGATACTAAGTTCTCACAAGGCCTTGGAATTAGCAAGAAAATCATAAAATTGTTCTACGTTTGGGTCATGTTTTCAGTGGAGCTAAGGGAATGGAGATATTTGAGGGCACACTCCCCAATCAATGACAAATTCATATGCTTTATAAATTCTGTGGGGCTTCTCATCGCAACAGACTATGTGGATGCTGGAGAGATGGCTTAGCTCAGCAGTTAAACATACCAATTGCTCTCCCAGAAGATCCAGGTTCAATTTCCAGCACCCACGGGACCCTCACAACTATCTGTGACTCCAGTCTCAGGAAACCTGACACCCTCTTCTAGCCTCGAGGGCATCACATGCATGTGACGCACATACATACACGCAAGCTAAACAACTATACACATTTAAAAAATAAATAAAACGAAGGAGAAAACACAGTGTAGACCTTAAGGATAGAGGCTTAGTTATTGTTATTACTTAACAGTCTGAACATTCTAGCCGCCTTCAGCTCCCTCCCCCGCATGGCACTGGAGAAGTGTTGCGTGACCTTTGCTCATGATCTCTGGCTTTACTGTCTTGAAAACCAAGAATTCTTATTATTGTGCGTGTACCCATACAGCTATGTGTGTGGAGGTCAGAGGACAACATCTTCAGATCAGTTCTCTGCTTCCACTGATTGTATAAAACTGAACTCATGGCCAAGGGCCTTTACCAGCTGAGCCATCTTGCCAGCTTTTTTCTAGTGCATATCCACCTCCCAACAAAGGTATAATAACATTGTTTTCTGACTTTTGTTTCTCCCCCAGCAACACCTGCACCCTTGACCCCCACCCCTAAGAGTCCTGGGACCAGCCAGACCACAACTGTGGCTACAGCCAAGACACCAGCCAAGACCCAAGCCATGACCACAGAGAAGACTATGAGTACGGCCAAGACCACGACTATGGCCAAGACCACGACTATGGCCAAGACCACAGCCAGAAGCCTGGCCGTCAACGCTCTGGGCAGTCCCCTTGCCGTTGCCCTCCACATCCTGCTTGTTTTTCTCATCAGCAAACTCCTCTTCTAGAGGAAACGGGGAAAGCAAATCTCCGACGACCTACAGAGAGCATCCTCCCAAAGCTAGCTCCAGGCCAGTGCTTAAACATGAATGAATGAAGGTTTATGTCCACAGCGCACAACTCTGCCACCTCCGACCACAGACCTGTGACACTCTTTGAGGGACACAGATGTTTGCCTGGATCTTTCAGGGCACCAATACCGCTTTTTTGTAAATACTTTGTAAATCAGCCTAGCTGTATCCTGGAGTTCTGACTCTCCGTTTTACATGCTGATAGCCAATCTGAACTTCTGTTTATTGCCAAAGGATTCCCATGAGCCTCCTGCGTTTGTTACGGGGAGGGGGAGGGAGATTCTTCTTTACTTTCACGATGGTTTCAGGTTTCTAGCCAAATCTACTCAGGTTACAAGGAACTTCTGTGACTTATGTGACTGAAGGGAAAAAAGAGACAAGAGCGGTAGTCCCATGGCTACTAGCAGATCCCCGGTGTGCCCAGACCAGCAGGTTTTGAAGAGCAGAAGTATATGAAAACTTTGTCGAGAAGCCAATGACAAGACCCGTGATTTTTTTTCTCTAAGTCAAATAAACAATACATTGAACAAGAATAATAAATCTTAAATTGAAAGATAAGCTTTAAATGAGTGATAAAATACAAAGTGTTACCCAAATTTGCTTATGTTTTTAAAAATATGAGTGGAATATTGTGTGTGTGTGTGTGTGTGTTCTCAAGAACAGATGTAAGGTTAACTTCTCTCAATTTTGTTTTGTAACTAGTCAAAGCTGATTACTCCTTGATGGTAATTTTAACCAAGACACGGGCAATATATATATATATATATATATGTATATATATATATATATATA